AGGCAGGCAGCACAAGCAGCCATACAAGTGAGCTTTTGGGCGGTGTGGCTGCTTGTGCTGCCTGCTCATGAGCAGGCAGCACAAGCAGCCACACAAGTCAGCTTTGGGAGCTCTCGGCGACGCCCAATGCGTGCGCCGGTAGGGGGGAGTGTGTGCGCGCGTGTGTGAGATGTGGATTGTGGCAGGCCTGCTGCTGCTGATGGGAAGTGTGCTCTGTGTGTGGCGCTGCGCTGGCGTGCGGCGCGCGCGTGCTGTGCGCGTGTGCGTGTTGCGGTCGCGCGTGCGTCTGCGTGTGCTGCGCGCGCGCCGCCGGTGTGTGCTGTGTGCTGTACTCTGCTGTGCGCCTGTTTGTGCAGCTGGGAGGCGCAAGCCTGGCTGGCAGGGCTGCGCGGTGGGCTGCGGCGCGCTGCGGGTGGTTGTGCGCCTGCCTGGTGGTGTGCGGCGGCCGCGCAACCCGCCCGACCGGGTCGTCGGCGGCCCAGGGCGCGAGCATGCGGTCGGCGCTGCATGTGAGGCTGCTGCGCGGCTGGCGCGCAAGTTTCCGTGCGATGAGGGACGCGCGTATGTGTTCACGCTGCGGGCGCGAGAGAGGGTGTGGGAGAGGCGGGAGAGATGAGAAATTTGTTGCCGCTGTGACCCGCCACATGCCTCCACGTCACGGTGTGTTTGGCGCGAAGGCGTCGCCAGAGGGAACGAAGGCGTTCCGCCAGCTGTCTGTTCGTTTTGGGGGTCACCCGCCCCATCATGCATGCCGCCGCGTACTCGCTATCGGTGCGAACTACTCCGCGTGAGCCCGCTCGTTGCTGTGACGAGGATAGGAGAGCCCGGAGGAGCTCGGCTAGGGCGGTTAGTTCCGCCGTGTTGTTGGTATGCTTTCGCGCGCCGAGGTAGGCTGGGTGCGCCCTGCCCCGAGACACCCCGGGGTGCCCCCTGGCCCCCGCGCTGGCGACACAAGCTTAATCACGATGGAACTTGCTCCGCACCAGGCGGCGGAGGCCGACGGCCCTGAAAACGAGAGCGAGGTCGAGGCTGAGGTGGAGGTTGAGAGCGACGTCGAGGATTGCAAGCCGGAGGAGCCACTTCAGGAACTGCGGGCGGCGGCCGACGCTGCGGCGAAGCGCTTGGCGGAGGCGGAGAGAGCGCTGGCAGCGGCGCGAGCAACGGCGGCAGCGAAGGCCGCGGCAGCGGCGGCGGCAATCGCGGCGGAGGCCGAGGCGGCATCGGCTGCCGACCCCACCGTGGAGGCAGGGGAGGAGGCGGAGGCGGAGGAGGCGGCGGAGGAGGAGGCGGAGGCGGAGGCGGAGGAGGATGGCAAGGAGGAGGAGAGCGAGGAGGAGCTGCTGCCGGCTGGGGTGCGGGTTGGCGGCCTCTGCCTCGCGACGACCCTTCACGCCGGCGAGCGCAAGTGCTTCAAGGCGGTGCTGCTCCGCGTGCGCCCGTCCCGCCCTCGGCTGCTGGTCAAGTTCCAGGCCGAGATGAGCCGAGATTGGCCGAGATTGGCCGAGATTGGCCTGAGATTAGGCTGCTGGTCAAGTTTCAGGCCGAGATGAGCCGAGATTGGCCGAGATTGGCCGAGGTTGGCCGAGATTGGCCTGAGACTAGGCTGCTGGTCAAGTTCGAGGCGGCGTCCAACTCCCTCTACCTCCCTCTATCTCCCTGTATCTCCCTCTACCTCCCTGTATCTCCCTCTATCTCCCTCTACCTCCCTCTAGCTGCTCGTGAAGTCCCAGGCGACCGAGGCGGACGAGCCGCTCACCAGCCTCTCCGCCCCCTCCTCCGCCACGGCCTACGTGTCCGCCGCCGACCTCTCCGCCTGGGTGCCTCCCGAGCGGCGGCACAACGCGGCGGGCTACGCGTTGCGCGGCGCCGCCGCCTCAGGGCCTGGCCCTCGCGGCGAGTGCAGGCGGCGGGGGCGGGCCGACGCGACACGCAAAGAGCCGGACCGCTTCGTGGCCGGGCCGGCCGGAGGCGCGGGGAGAGGCATCGGAGGCGCGGCGGCGAGTGGCGGCGGTGCGGCGGAAGGCTGGCTCACGGCGGCGGCGGGGGCGGCGGCGAGCTGGCAGAGCGCGGCCGCCGTGGCCGCCGCCGGGGCGGAGGGGTGGCAGAGGGAGGGGCCGCACGTTGGGGAGAGGCTGGTGCGGCGGATGGAGGAGCACGGCGACATCCGCGCGCTGGTGCGGCTCTACCTGCCGCCGGGCGAGGGCGAGGAGGAGCCCGCCTTGTGGCGTGTGGAGCACGCCGACGGCGAGATTAGCCGAGATTAGCCGAGATTGGCCAAGATCGGCCGAGAGTGGCCGAGAGTGGCCGAGATTAGCCGAGATAGCACGCCGACGGCGACAGCGAGGAGCAGGAGCTGCTCGAGGCTGCGGGCGATGCAGAGAGCGCTTGGAGTAGGCGACAGCGAGGACCTCGAGGAGCACGAGCTGCTCGAGGCGATCGCGCGGCGCGGCGGGACGCTGGTGGTGCTGCGCGTGTGGGCAGCAGCGTCTCTGCACCCCTCCTGGCTGTGTGCAGGCGCGACGGGACGCTGGTGAGCGCAAACAAGAACGGCCCGCCTCGCATGACGGCCACGTCGCTCTCCGACGAGCTAAAGTCCGACGCCGAGGCGGTCGCCGTCTTCGAGGCGGCGTCTGACTCCCTCTACCTCCCTCTATCTCCCTGTATCTCGCTGTTTCCCCCTTCTATCTCCCTCTATCTCCCTCTACCTCCCTCTATCTCCCTCTATCTCCCTCTATCTCCCTCTATCTCCCTCTACCTCCCTCTACCTCCCTCTATCTCCCTCTATCTCCCTCTATCTCCCTCTACCTCAGGCGGCGCGGCGCGTCAAGAGGGCAAAGGCCGAGGCGGACCTCCAGGTTCGAGATCGCACGAGATCGCACGAGATCGCACGAGATCGCACGAGATCGCACGTCGCACGAGATCGCACGAGATCGCACGAGATCGCACAGAGGCCGAGGCGGACGTCCAGGCTTCCAAAGAGGGGGAGAGATGACTACATCGAGGAGGATATTGGGTGAGGCGTTGTGGCGCCAACTTTGGAGCTATGATGGGATGGGGAGAGATGGGGAGAGATGGGGAGGTCGCGGCAGACTTCCAGGTTGCTCCCGGCTGTCACCCCCGTCATCACCACCAGGTTCGAGATCGCACGAGATCGCACGAGATCGCACGAGATCGCACGAGATCGCACAGCCCCCCCCCCCCCCCCAATCTATTGCACGTCTCACCGCACACCGCCTCCCTCTCCCTCTGA